TTACATTTTATTTCATATTAACTCTATTTCATATTATTTCATATAACATAGAAATAAAGCGAGGTAAAGCTGATAGAACATTGTCCATGTGGTTACGTTATAATTCAGAAGCAGTTTTAAAAATGTCTCCGCGTACGGTAGTAAAGGAAATCGCGAGTACGACCGTGTATATATATCTAAGGTGAAATATGGATATAAGCTCGAATGTCTATTTTATTTAATTAATGCAAAGTGAAAAGTTAACTAAAACTGATTGTAATTATTTTATAACGATTATTAAAAACAATATTATGAAGAACCTCAAAAGGAATATTATTTTTTATTCGACTTAAAACCATATAGTGCGTATGTTTCAAATGTATGCCTCATGAACACGTACATAGTTTATTTGTTAATAAAATAAATATTAAAAAAACAATTACTTACGTTTTCTAATGATCATAGAGTTGAACCCAAGCCCGATTTTAACCATCTTTCTTCACCTGTTTTGAGCCAAGCATTCACAAGGCTTCTTCTTGTGGGGACTTTTAATAGTAGCAACGCGGACTGAATCTAAATTAATCCGACTCAGGGTTGCCAGTTACCATTATTATTATTATTTTTGTTCTGTGAAAAGTTGCCAAACGAGCAGACGGTTCACCTGATGTTAAGTGAATACCGCCACCCATGGACATCTGCTACACCCGAGAGTTACAGGTGCGTTGACAACCTTTTGAAAATTAGGCTCCGGCTACCTCACTCCATACCATACGAAACGCGAAAGTATTTGTCATACTTCCATTTTACGTTGGCCTTCTGTGAGGTTGTGGTACTAACCCGGACGGGCCTGCCCATTCATGCAACAGCCGAGGCTGCTGCGTGGCCCTACCACCGTCAAAATATTTAATAAATTAGTAATAGCATTTAAAAATGACCAACTTTAAAAATCCGACCTATTAATTATTCCGAAGACACTGTAATACTTAAACACTGTCAATATGTTGCCTTCTTTGTGTGACGTATAGTTTGCTGTTAGCCCGGCAACTTTGACAGCTTCGGCGGGAGAGGTCCACAGACTCGGGAGAACAACGTATCTGGTGCACGACGACGACACGAAGACACCTTCCACTCCGCTGCACTCCGCTGCACTCCGCAACACCCTGCTAACGAAAGATGGGCAATCGACTAACATGCGGGGTAGGGGGGGAGCATCTCAATGGCCCCTCAGATTGAGGTTCGAACCTTGGCCTTGATCGCAATCGATCAATATGTGGTCATGGTCCAGTATGTATATGTATATACATACAACAAAACTGATCTGAGAACTTAATCCGTATATTTCTTAGCAGTGAAAATAGAAATATCCAATTTTCGTTATTAAGTTAGACTGAGCTGATATAAACTTTAACTATCTCGTTGAAATTAAAACATTGTTTTATTTCAAAATCAAAGTCAAAAATATATTTATTCACATAGACGCTTGCGCGTTCTTATGAAACGTAAAAATTAATACATTCCTAAATTACAACCAGTTCGGAAAGCAGTTTCTGTTGAGAAGAAACCGGCAAGATACTCAACAGTTGCTCTTTTTTTAAAACGATTAGTTTACAAAATAATAGGACAGGTATAAATCTTACTTTAGCCTACGTGAGTATCAACAGTATTAGCCCCACACATTGGCGTCGTCAAGATATTCTGCAATGGCATAATATGCCTTAGCTATAAGTTCACTTTTAATTTTGCGTCTGAATTCATCTAGTGACAGACTTAATAACGATTGTAGGATTTTATTATACATGCCCACACTTTGCCCCATGAACGATCTATTTACTTTTTGTAGAAGAAACAATGGCGTAATTAATTTGTCCTTATTTCTTTTATTTAATTTATGTCTGTCACTATTATTTAGGTAACAAGGTAAGATAATGTCTAACATACAAAATATTACAATAAATATCTTGGGACGCAACAGTGAATATATTAATCTCTTTAAAAAGATCTCTGAGTGAATTCCGGGCTCCGATTTTATAGATTGCTCGGACAGCTCTTTATTGAAGAATAAATATAGAATTTATTTCAGATGCACTACCCCACAACAAAATGCCTTACGATAAGAACAAATACTTTTCCAAATACTTTTTATAATAATACATTATAAAAAGTATTTGGATAACCATTAATTCGAAAGCTGTGGATGTTCTTTATCATCCCCAGGAACAACTTATTTGTATCATAAGTAATTGATACAAAAATCCTATCACTCGATAATCAAAGATAATTTCAACATGTAAAAAATAATTTTAGAGCGATAAAAATCAATAATTAAAATGGTGAACGATGCCAACCCTAAGTAATCCCACACTCACGATGGCAGTTCCCAACTGTAGCACCTGACTATTTACGTTATTCCCCTTGCCATCGCAATTTAAAACTTTCCAAAAGTTCAACGCTACAAAATTGTCGCAAATTTAACAAATGTTGCGCTTGTTTAATTCGTTTCAATGTTCTTTTCCACATTCTTGTATTTAAACACAATTCACGTGAAAACAGGAAAAATTAGGAGTCTCACGCTTTTTCTAAAAAAAAAATTAGGCTTCGGATGTAAACCCAAAAACATAAAGGTAAAATATTGAGACAAACTAAAAAAAAGCGAATGATACAAAAATTATTTAAGATTTCTCGTTTTTAATATATCGTTTTTCCTTTCCTTTCTTTCCGATCAGCCTGATCCTATGGCTCTGTGTAGAGATGTTGGATCAATCTGCCTCTTCTACTGCATTTATTATGGCGAGTGTTCCAATGAATTGTTTGGATTGATCCCGGCGGCTGAATTTCACCATCGGACACCGCACCAAAACTAGATATTTCATCCACACTACGTCGATGTCCAGCGATCCACAACAGTGCAATTTTCAAGGCATTTCCGGCCTGTGCAGTGTTTCCAAGATGGAGGAAGAAGTTATAATATTTATGAAAGTGCACATTAATAACTTACTTTCTCACTTTACATTTTTTTATATAATTTCAAAAAACATTCATTCTTTATGGATATTTAATAAAACAGTATGTAACGTTTTCGAATATATTATTTATTGAAATAATTGGTCAAATTATTTACAAAAACAATGACAAACACGCATATAACATGAATTTAAGTACAGATTAATACTGACGGTTGTCAGTTGGAAGGCCAATTATGTAAAACACTATAATCTTATCTAAGCCCACGTCAAGTTTTATGCACCGTCGTTGCGAAATATTTCAATTGTTAACTACAATAGGATTAAAAAGAAATCGAGCAGGTAAAAAATTAACATTATATCGTATACTAAAAGTAAAATCATCAACAGTGCTGTATGATTTTGCTATAGATTTTTTAGCTACCTTAAAAGTTTAATTTTTATGGAATAAATTTTAAAAAAACAGGTATGATTTAATTTCACTCATGAGAAAATTCAAAACTTATTTAATAATGTATGTAATATTTATTATACTTTTATTTATTAATAATTTATACATCTCATCATCATATTTATTACATTAAGTCCAAAATTTTATATTGCTTAAAAATAGTGCAAGATAAAATGTATTCGAATAAAATACTGCATAATTTGTGACAATGTTTATATTTCGAGCAAAGAAGTCTATATCCATATAACCAGCCTAAAATAGTAAAAAAATAGGGATTTTAAACGTTTTTCCAAACTAAATATGAATTTGTTATACGCATACAATACTAAAGTAACTATGACTTGTAATTACTTAATCTGAATAATTAGACTTTTTTTAATTACTTAGGTATACGATTTCATAAAATGTGGTTTACAATTAGTACTTTCCTAATAAATGTAAGTTATTTAAAAAGTTTAATTAATATGACTTAATATTTTTCTTAAGTAAGATAAATAGGCTCTTAAGGCAATATTATAATTTAGTCTAGATGAATTTTTAATAAAAGTTATTGTCTTCAACTGTAGCATAATTTACTTGGTCCACCTATATAACTATTTGTGAAACAAACATCAACGTTTAGTTTGTAATAAAATATACAATCTTACAGATTATAATAACTTATACAATTTTATATAAAACCAAATATAATACATTAATCTAACTATTTCATAAACAGGAATGAACCTATATAAGTAAAATTTATACGTAAATTTTTAATCTTTGCCAATTATTAAGTGAAACAGATAACAAACAAAGTATAAAGGGGAGATCATAAACATTTGAAAAGTAATAAAACAGTTGGAAAAAGGATTTGCAAAGTCATTTGATACAGTAGGAGATAAGAAAAAAAGGTTAGTTTTTAAAATTTCTTAGCGCCTACGTTGCAAACTATGGCAAAAGATAAAATAAAGAATGTTGGACATTTGCTCATAAAATATTGTAAGTTTTCAGAAAATCCCTATAAAAATTATTAACACTTTTTGGTTTATTCTACGACAGGAATTGATTTCTTACTGTCGTAGTTTTGGCACCTATACTTTTCTCGATATACAATGTTTTGTGTCAAGACGCATCCATTAACAACGTGATTATTTTTTATATATCACCAATAATGTTTTTATCTATATGGTTTTCTTGATTTACATAACATTTTTGAAAAAGTATTTAATTTATGTCAATCATGCTATTTTATTAGTATACGGTGACAGTAATATGTGAACCTTAGCATATATACTTAATATAACCGAGGTCATTTCACAGAGCAAAGAAAAAATAGTAAATACCGAAATAAAATACTCGAGCATTGCTTCAAAAGTCAAGTTTCACTGACGAATTATCGAATACACAATTAAATTACTACTTACAAACAGCAAATGCACAAATGTGCATACAATAATCATAAACATGATTCTTCTGATTTATTAACATCCAAAACGCATTCACAGCGAATCAATTAATAAAACACATGTTTCGCAAAACACGAAAATTGAATAAATATTCTTACGATCTATCAGTACATACTTGTAGTAAATATGCTTGCATTGATTTTTCAAGTTAACACCACTTCACCTGCTTGTTTCCCCATTTGTTTCTACCTGAAATATGAAAGCGAAAGTATAAGACGAAATAATAACTATTATCATTATAGCTGCGTGATATAACAACGCTGCGGCTTTTATAAAGGAATAAATATTTTAGGACACATTTTTTACACCAAAGTAAGGAACGCTTATATATATAAACAACCAGACACTAGAAAAACACTATGCTTATCACACAATATTTTTCCAGTAGTGGGAATCGAACCCACACCCTCTGGCGCAGAAGGCAGGCACACTACCCACTACGCCATTCGGGTCGTCGATGTGAATCGTACTTGTATCGTTTGGAGGAACCCCGGGTTCTCCTTTGGAACGCACCGGTGTCCTACGGCTGTCCTACGGCACTGGGCGTGAGCACGCCTCGGAGAGGGGTGAAACTTTCCCCGATTCCCTCGCCATCTTGCATTAGCTCGAGGCCATTTCGAGCTGCAATTCGTGTCCCCTTTTAGTCGCCTTTTACGACAGGAGGCAGGAGTTACCTTAGTCCCAATCTAAGAGCCCGGGTGTAGCGTATATTGTACAAATGAACACAAAATGTTATGTATGTACTGCCGGTTAACGTTACAACTATCGTTATAATGAAATTACGTCCACGACGTACAAATACACCGGGACCACGGGGCTGGCGTGGCCCTACCGCGTTCCGCGCACCTTGTCCAGCTGGGCGAGCATGAGGGGCGAGGAGGGCGCCGGCGCGTCGTCGCGCGCCCGCCTGCGCGAGGCGCCCTTCCGCTCGTGCGCGGCGGCCGGCAGCAGCGCCCACACCGCCGGCGTGAACAGCTCCGCGTCCAGCGGCACCGAGCGCGGCGCGTCCAGCAGCCAGCCGACGGCCGCGCCCACGGACAGCGTGGCGGCCAGGCCCAGCGGCGCGATCCAGTGGTACGAGACGCGGAACAGCGGGAACACCAGCTGCGGGTCCTGGGGCCAAAACGGACGGAAAATTCGTACGGGACGTGGAACAGCGGGAACACCAGCTGCGGGTCCTGGGGCCAAAACGGACGGAAATAACGCTATAGGAGCCAGTGGACCGGACGAACCCTTTTAATGAGGCGAAAACGGCTGCCGATGAATAACGCTATAGGAGCTGGTGGAGCGGACGAACCTTTCTCATTAATTCCCTACCCTGATGCGATAACGGCTGCAGCTGATGAATAACGCTATGGGAAATATGATGATTCCTCCCGGCCGATTTCGGCCACGGCGACTGCATTCAACTCTGGTTTTGTCTTTGGTGTGCTAGCATGTAACTTATGTAGCCAATTCTTTGCATAAAAATTCTCGCACACTGCGGTCGCGTTAGCACACCGTTTACATAATTGTAACTAATGGACGCTGGTGGTCGGCTTTTAGTACATCTCACTTGGCGTCCAGCTTACAGAGCCGTCTGTCCTCAAAATTTTAGACGCTCGTTTTAGATGCGAACCTGCCTACTTAACTTCCCACCCAGATAGGAAAACGAGTGCAGTTGATGAATTACGCTACAGGAGTTAGGCCTCACCAACCTACTGAACTCCCTACCCACAATTCCTATGTTCCAATGAGGACCCTTCGCTCTTCAAACAACCTTTCACTTCGTGCTATGAGGTTTACTTTAAACTTTGTAACTTGTCGCTTCATTTCCAATCTATTCTTCTTTGGAATGCACTTCCTGTCAAAATTAGGCGGTCTGCCGATCATCATTCGTTAAAAATTAAAGTGCGGAAACTGTTTCTAAATATTTTGGCATATCGTATAATTATTTAGACTTTTTTTTATACTTTAACTAATACATTATGTCCATTTATTACAATAATTGTATTTACTACAATATTTTTATATTTATAAAAAATTACATATTAATATAATTTGTTATATGTATTTATTTTAGTGCTATTTCATCACGTTCACACCTACATCTTTTATCTGTGCACCACCAGTTATTTGACTAGTAGAGGAATTCCCTAAGTCCGAATACGCAAGATTTGTGTAAATGTCACATGAACATGTTACATGAACAAATAAATAAATCGGCACTCACCAGTAGTGCCATCTGCTGGGACGTGCCGTTTGTGCACTGCATCGCGTAGTCGAGCGGTGGGGCGCGCAGTCCGCGGGCCGCCGCCGCTTGGGTGCCGAACGTGACCGTGCCCGCCACCACGGCACCGGCCACCGCGCCCGCCACCGCCCCACGCGGCCCCACCCACCAGCAGACCATTCCAAGGGTGAACATTCCGCAAGTGGAACTAGCGGCGATCGCCGATAGCGCGGTCGCTACGCCTGAACCAACAGAAAGAGTCTAACTGAGCGCTCATTTCCAAAGGAAAGAGCAGCTGAAAAGGAAGGGAGGTAGAGAAAAGAGAGATAAGAGTAAAGATAGAGAGAGAAATGGAAAACTTGGTCAGTAGGAACAGTTGCTAACATTGCGATGTCAGTATTTAGACATAATACAGATAGTTGAATCCGTATTTGGTCGTCTGCCGTATACGTTGACAAGTATTTAGATATAAAAAAACAAACGCTGTGAGAGTCAATACTTCATTGGAGCATTTGTTTCTTAGAACGTATGTATAATTGGCGTCTAAGAAAAATATGAGTATACATTCATTAACCCATCATCCAAATTTGTTTTTGCAAAAGAACGATAACATCGTTGAAAAATATCATAATTTATAACGATTATTATTTAACTAGTTTAATTTTTTTGGTTTTTTGGCTATCCAAATGTCAAATGGATTCACATCCTTGTTTTGTAATAACTTTTTGCATATAATCACTCTAAAATGTTATGAACGTGTTACGCAAACTCTATTTGAACTTGTATAGATAATAAACTCATGTTTCATAATTATGATGTTTATTATGCAAACACCAACACGGGAAGTTACGTAAAATCTTACGAAAACTGCTAGTGGAATTTCGGTTTGACACAAATCAGTGTCATTGACGTTCACAAATACGGTACAGGTGCTGTAGGCTTTCAAAATTAATTAGAATAGCTATTAGAAAGAGTTACGTCAAAACTTCATGTTTGTATTTCAACGAAGCGGTTTGCTTTGCAACTCGTAACAATAGTATTTCCAATCTTTCCTTCTATTTTTCTTTGATATCAAACGAGGAGTAAAGTACCACCATTGATCATGCGAGGTGTATCTTTTACAAATAAATGCTATCCAGTTACCTAAAATTAATAATAATTTATTAATTAATTATAATTATGTTTTTTATTATTTTTTTATGTTCAATTTGTATGGAATGGTTCATCTCAAAATAGGGAGAAGGGACAGATATCTATACATATTATAAAAATGAAACTTGTTTTTGTCTGTACATGGAAGACATTTGAGAAAAACTATTATTAAAGATCTCTCTTTATCAACGCAATAGCACACAATGGTTGTTAAGATTGTTGTCTGTGTGTATGTGCGTTTCTGCGCATTAATCTCAGAAACGGCTTAACCGATTTGGGTGCAACTTTCAATGATTCATTGTAGTACTTCACTTAACATTTAGTGTTAGTTTTATTCAAATCGGTTCTTTAATAAAAAAAGTTATATCAACTTAAAATAAAGTAATCGCTACAGCTGATTTGGATGAAACTATAGTTAACTATAATTATTTTATTTTCCTTTCGCAGGTAGTCATTTATTTTCTGGTCGTTCCATTTTTGAATTTGTTTCCTTTTTTATGATTACAAGGCAGTTCATTTCCGAACTGCCGAAGCCTTTGATCCAAGTTTGAAAAATATCAATTACTAGATTTGACCCAAACAGCTCAAGCTAAAGAAAACCGTTTAAAAACAGCTGAACGGCTGCGTTTCTGACTATATTATCAGCAATCCCCTTACCCAGAACACCGCCGAGCTTCTCTATAACGATGAGCATGAGTAGTGACGCGAGGGCAAGAGTGGCGGTCACGGTGCGAGCAAGGATGCCCTCGGTGAGTGGCTTCAGCTGCAACCTTAACCAGCCGTGCATTATGTCCTCGACCGCAACTAGCGCGCACGCGTTCAGCACCGCCGATAGCGAGCTAACAAAATAAAATAAAACAATAAAATAGTCTTTATTGCTGTTTCTATTCCTTACAATTAATAAATGAAATAAATAAAACCTACTATAAACTAAATTGATTTAGTTACATATAAAAACTAAATTGATTAAATGAATTATAATTTGTATATTTTGAATGATCGGCAACTAGATGTTTGTGTAGAACAGCTTGTCTGTCGACAAAGGCCTCCTATAAAGATTTCCACGTTTTCTTGCTAAATAGGTCCATACTGGACCACCTATTTTCTTCATCAAGTCAATAAATCAATAAAATAAAATAAAAATCAAGTCATTATCCCATCTCTTGACATTTCTGCCTCTCTTTCTTTTTCTTTCAAAATAAAATGTCATCAAACCAAGAAATTGAGTATGTACTTGTAACGCCTGAGCATTAAGTAAAGCTTCATCGAGCAAAAAGCCCGAGTCTTACAGCTTTTACGAGGTTGCTACGATTCTACGGGAGTTATGTGGTAGAGTCCCGTATAGTAGAGTCACGCATGGTAGTACGCAATAGTCAACTTATAGATGGCGGACTCAATGAAAATAAACTTGTACATTGTAGAGTCACGAATTATGTTCTTCAACGGCTTGCTAAGCGCGCCTCGCAGAGTCACACATCTGACATTGTGTTTTTGTCCAAAGCCTATGACCGGCATAGACTTAATGGGACGGTCACTCAAATAAAAGAAGCCCCTTAACAAGCGAACTCCATTCACGTCTTTCCCACTAAGAATACTAACAAAATTAATATAATAAAACATACAATTAACACCAGTAAAAAAATGAAATTACATATCAAAGAATTAAAAACTAAAAATGTTAGTTAAAATTTTTGTGCATTCAAAATGAGTTTTCGATAAAATTGGACACGACATCAAGGACTCCGTGGCGCAGTTGCTAAAATATTGGCTTCGGCGTCGGCAGTCGTTGGTTCGATTCCTGTACGAGACAACTATTTGTTTGACGCACAGATAATTGCTTTGTATCTGGGTGTATCTCCTCGTGAAATTTCTGTTGATGGGAAATCATATCTGTTGTATGGGAGCCGCGCTTAAATATTTTTTATTTTATTGTGTTTATAGAATTCGTTGTTAGAGCAGTGACAGAAATACATCATTTGTGAAAATTTCAACTGTCCCACAATCACGGCTCATGAGATACAGCCAGGTGACGGATGGACAGACGGACGCGTTACAAGTTTACCAAGGTAACGAACCCTAAAACACACCTAAGGCCGGCACCGAAGACTCCCGCGAGGAAGACCCCCGCCAGGCCCGGTAAGTGCTGCACCCTGGACACGTAGGTGACGAAAGCCGGCAGCAGTCTGTCGTCGACGGGGGGCTCGCCGCCGCTCAAGCAACCGCCGCTCACCCACGCCGTCCACGCCGCCAGCCCGCACCACACGCACAGGGATATCGCCAGGATCGCGCCCGTGCAGAATATCGCTAAGGCGCTGCAAAAATTAACCCAAATCAAAAAACATGGGAGTGTCTTTCATATGGCATAAGAAACACTAACGTCATCCAGGAGAGTAGGGATGGATTAGAAAACATCAAAAATTCCGCCGATCTTCGGAAACCTTAAACTTTTTGCATATCCACACTCTGGTAAGATTTGACGTCGCGTTTTATAATGTCGGAACATGTGTGTTCGTCTAAAAAGTCCTCTAACAACTTTTAAACTCTCTTTTGTATGTTACAAATTCTTCGGTCGTCATTTCTCCATTCATCGCTTCCAGCTTAAATTTTTTTACTTTATTTATTTTATAATTGATTATGATTCAGCGACAGGCACTTTATACATATTTTATATACTTTCAATAAACATATTTTAAATTTGTTACGTACAACGAAACATCAAGCTGATTGTGAATATTTTTTTGGAAAATACCGAATTCTTCTAAAATGAAACTTTAAAAGCGTGAAAATTATTAAGTAAAACGTCCGAATTAATAAACACACATTAAAATAATTCAGAGCTGTACTCATAAACGTCAATAAATCAGAAAAGTCAATTTTTCATTAGTTGGAATTCCACATTCGCCAATTTCAACCTTCAAGACTTATTAAGACCCACTCGACAAATAAACGAATTTTGTCTAGTTAAACTTATCATCACAGTACAGGTGTTTATATGCAAAATTAATAATTGTGCGCATAAATTTACACATTTTAAGGCAAAGTTGGCCATCAACTGACGTCAATGAAAATGCTATCACAATCATTATATTTCATTAGAAGATTGCGCGACAATGACACTATTTTTAATAACACAAGGCTATTATTATATATCAAGCAACGAATTGCAAAGAAGGCAATTCTGAAAAATGTTTTTAATGTCTTTGAAGCGATTATGCGAGACAGAGCGAAAGAAAAACGTGCGTTGAACGATAAGGGAAACGTTTATTAAAATTTGAAACCGGGTAAAACAAGAATTTATTTTATATGACAAAACGTGATACTGAACTTCTTGAATGACTTTTGGTTATTGAAGTTTTATAAATACTCAATGATGCATGAAATGGCAACATATTTTGCTAATGACTTCGGGGGGATTGGGATGGGAGATCAGAAAGAGAGAGAAGAAAACTTTTTAGCCATTCTGTCCTTCCAAAATAAGAGCTACTATTTCCTATAGTATGGCCCCGCAGCAAGTCAGAAGGTATCACGGCCTTACAGAAGCTCGGTGTGTATTGGGAGTATAATACTTCTGCGTTTCGTTGGTGAGCTAGGTAACCGTGAACCAATTTATTAAAGTTAGTACTTACACACATTTACAACACTTTTAAAGTTGTAGAAGTCCACAGGAGACATTAATCACTAAGCACCAACCTGCTCGCTTACGAACTTTCCACATCAAAAGAAATCGTTATAATAGACCTAAGGGTTAATTGAAGGAAACTTACGAAACAGCCTCCTTCTTCGACGGCAACGAGATGTACCGTTGTACCATTGTCTGGTTAACGGAATTGAAGCAGGTCCAATACAGGAAGCCCCCGAACACGACGCCCCAACCTGACTGTCGCTCGTATGGGGAGAAGCTCCAGCTGAAACAAGACTTTTTATTCCGAAAAAGAATAGAACGAAAGTGAGTGGCGTTTGATCAATCCTAGCCCAAGTAGTTAGGTCCCACACCTATCCCATTTCCCTAAACCCCGTAGGTAGAGTGCTCCCGTCCCCCTACGTAGTTCAGTAATTTCATTAACATTTCTGCCCAACTAACACCGCGACCGCGGTAAGAGATGAGTCTTCTGTTCACAGGAGGAGTCACCACCGGTTAGCCATCTGCTAACCGAGATACAGCCCGATCAATGGGGATGGCCCCCGAGGATCGCAACGTGTCGGGTCACTTACCCGAACCCACTTACGGCGTTTGATCAATATTCGTTGATATAAATACTTTTTAACCACTTAAGTGAGAGGTACACCTGAGTGGCGAGTATGACTTGCTTTTATTAACAACAGGAACTAATTTTCTTACTGGCAACTGTAGTGTTATCACCAATCAAGCAATTTTGGCCCAAGAGTGATGATAAAATGTGTTTTTTTACGAATGCAAACCTCTAACCTTCCTCATAAATTTGCATTATCTATTTTAAATATTGTTATTAACTTCGACTGTTTTAATAACTTCTCATATAATTATAATGATATTTAATAAAATGTCCCATTAACAACAATCGTTCAATTACAGCACGTTGAATTAGACGTACGTAGAAGTACCTTAAGTGATCGCTTGCATATTGGTGAAACATTTAAAATTGGACAACCGATTGTGTAGTACCAACTTGGACAAATCAAGCCTGCCGGATTCGCTGGTGACGTTCAGAACGGTTCGAAATCCGCCGACGGCGATGGTCCCAGCCGCCGCGACGAGTACAACGCCTATGAACATTACGCCGGTCTGCACCGAATCCGTCCACACCACCGCACGAAGACCACCCTACAAATGTACGATAGTCGATAGTAGAGTCATCTTAAGTAAGCGTTTGTGTAATACAAAATACCAGCATTGATGAAATTGCTTATTGCAATGTAGAGGACTTATTGACCTTGGTTGTTTTATAAGGAATCTTGTATCTCAACGAAATAGATAGGTAATAAGAGACACGATACCCTCTGTGTATAACAAAGAGGCTTTTGTTCAGCCGTGATACCATATCGAACTAATCTCACTCACCCTGATGAAGTACCTCCGATGGGTTTGTAACTACTCGGTACATACACCGCTTAAACGTGAGTTTAGCCGTCTTATTATTTCGTGGTACTGCATGTTTAAATTGGGATATGAAATATTTTCAACTCATTTCTCTTTTATTACACATGGGTGGCAATTAATTAATAAATGTTGATACCGGCACTTGTTGTACTTACAAATATCTTGTTGAGCACTTATTAAGCTACAGTTCGTACTGCATCAAAAAATGTATATTAACCTGAATAATTCTATGACTGTGAACTGAAGATCATAAACGTACCCACAATCCACAAAGTAAAACAAACGGACAAGGTAGGATCGACATATCAAGTATCAACAAATTCAGAGAGGAAAATAAACCATAGACAGGCGCGGCGAAACCTAGAGTTCAGTAATATGCACCGTCCGACCCTAATTTTAACTTTATTAACTAACAGACGTTGTAATAGACCCACCGGCATGCACAAATAACATTTAACGTAGCAACAACATAAATATACTCACCAAGACCGTGTAAAGACCACATATTGCCACCATGACGCCACCAACGGCGAATACGTTAAACCCTGTCACTGGAATAGGAAATTTAAAAAATAATACACAAAAAAGATAAAGGGACAACTTAAATACACAAAAAAGACAAAAGCAACTTTTTTGTATCAAAAAGAATAATAATATGTACATTTTTCATACATACATTTAGAATATAACAAACAAAAATCAAATATAACAAACGGATTACACACCATGTGGAAAACTTTATTCATGTTTTCGGGACATATTATGTTACACATACATATTATAGATCCTCAGACATTTTTAGTAAATAAGAATAAAAAATATTTTAAACTCACATTGATTAAATGCTAAAGCAGGAACGTAAACGACCATAGGTAGGAACAATACCTGAAAGAAGAAATTATTTTGATAAAATTAACAAAACAATATTTATAGTAGGTAATACCACCACTTTATTGCATTCAATATTATGGGAATAATTTTCGAATTCGGAATTAAATTCCTACACAAATATAAATACAAAATACAAAAATGTTTATTTCATTAAAAATATACGAAACGGTTTGTTTCTTCAACATCATTTCCCCGGATGTACTAACCTAAAAATGTACTGCAAGGCCGTTTGTAGGTTCCATAATAAAAAATCCTGAGATACACGTATCTAGAAGGTACCAACAATATAACATCATATTGGGTCATCGAAACAAATTTCCAAATATTCAATTCACTAGTGAATCACCTTAAATAGCAGAAAATACTCAAAAAAAAAATTAGTTGCATTGATTATGTTAAGTAAACCCTGCATTTTAAGTAACTTTTTAAAAGCAACAAGTAAATAGTTTTAAGACTAAAAATAAAGATGAATTTAATGAAATTGTTATTAAATGAAAAAATCTCAGAAAGCTGCGGAAGGAATGAATTTATTTCGAACACTCGTTATAAAGAACATAAAACATAAGTAAAGGTAAACTTCTAGCGATAATAATCTCGTAAATTATTGTCGCAATGTCATCAATTATTTTATAGCCGTAGAAAACATCGAGATGCTTAATAATTCGTGTCTTTAATGGATACGCTAGGAGTAAATCTGTATTTTGAGAGAATAGTTCTTAATCTCTGCGAATACAGCAGAGTAACGAATGAAAGCAAATGCTCTCGTATAAAATACAAGTTATTTTTACTGGTCGTATTCGGATGATGATTAAATTAGCTTTTCGCAATACAGTACTACAAGTAACATCACCCGCTTAAATGAGTTACAAAGTAATAAGAGCGGCAATTGTCTCTTTGCTTTTGATATAGTTTCACCCAACACTTTTATTATCACTACTATGTATATAGATTACACACGCTTAAAAGTAAAATTGTTTTTTAATATTTTAACTGAGTGCCAAGTTATTAAATTAAACGTACGACTAAATATACTTGATGATGCCTGACATGCACATTCGTCGCAAGTTTCGAGAGTAAAAAACAAAATGGCATTTGAACCGTTGTGTATGTCATGCCTGAAAAATCTTTTGTTTGTATTATTCGTTGACTCCGATAGCTAGCTCCAATTTATCTCGTATGACGATCACAATATTAAATTTTTAAATGGTCAATTGACCATTGTCCATTGTTATGAACTCACAGCACCGACGTAGGTTTCTCAGACAAAGTCCGGAATCGCATCCATCCTTGGCTCGTAATTGACACTTATAAATAGAATTACATTCCAACGTGTACTAAAGTAAACATCCAAACGTGCCGTTATCTTTTTACATCAACAATCGAGAATGGAGTGACTGAAAATATATTTCGATCTAATTTTTATAAGAAAAATAAAATTATTTTTTTAATTATTTTAATCTATTCACTAAAAAATCGCGGTACGGTATATTAAAAATATTTATGTATAAAATAATAATAAATTACGTGAGTTTAAGGATAAAATGATAGGATAGACATTTATGAAAAAACTTTGCAAACTTTAATTAACAGGTACATGTTTTGATTTTAAACCTATCTTTTGTAATAGTAAGTTTGTAACTTGAGTATAAGGTCCAGGTTATAAATTTTACACCTTATAAAATCAAAAAGTAACTATCAATCTTCGGTACCATTTTTAGGTCGTCGATTATTATACTAGGAATTAGTGTATGTAAGTACCCAAAATATGTTTAGGAAAGAATTTGACATATGATATGAGCAAAATCTGTTTGAAAAGTATGTTAGAGTAAATAGTGTGGACAACTTAAATAGTACAGTAATTACATTAAGTACATAATCATCTACTAATTACAATAAGTATAATGCATGTTTAAGGTTTATTACAGATATAAATGAAAACAAATGTCCGACACTAATTGCTAATGTTTGTATTCCGAATTGACCCACAACGAGCAAAGTCCGTACGACCGAACGAGTCAGCGAACGACCTCTAATAAGTATCGCTGATCGCACACTTTCAACGCATATTTTACACTAGACAACACTGTCACTGAGATAGTTGTAAAATAGACAGACCTATTTGTTCTCGCAATGAGAAAAGTAATCACTACTACTGTAACGAGATTTTATTTCATTTACTTACGTACTTCTTTTCATATCTCCAATAGCACTGATTTGCGTATATCTTGATCAACTTTCGAATTTCTAAATTCTAATGTGAAGGACGAATGTAGCGAACAGACGCTTTTCCGTTACAATAATGTATTATTAGATCTCTTGTAACTAGCAATAACCGATATTGTATTTTAGAACAAGGAAATGAATATCTTAATGCCAATAACTGATTTATGCACCAAAAGTTCCATTCCAAAGTCTAGTCTCCAATAAATAAAACAACAGAGCATCCGCAATCTTATTATTTCAGAAAACAAAACTATAATCCCAATCGTCGAGACGTCAAAAGTAATCACAATGCAATTTTTTATTTTCAATAACTCCATATAAAACATAGCTGGCATAACGAACAATAAACCGATTAATTTGATTGAACTACATACGTTTAAAATTCATTAAGTTTTCCAGAAGCAGTAACAAACTAAACACCAATTGTTTAAGAATATGCCCTGAGATATCAATAGCACACGTATTGATTTTTTTTATTTTCAATAACTGCATATAAAGCATAGCTCACATCACGAACAATAAACCGATTAATTAATGACTGAATTACATACGTATAAAATTCATTGCGTTTATCAGAAGCAGAAACAAACTAAACACCAATTGTTTAAGAATCGATTAAATCTTGGAATCGATAAACACACATAGGACTACTGCCAACAATCAACAAAACATAAAAGTTTAGGCCAAGAGCGTTAATCCAATAAATGTAAATGCAATTGTAATGCCCAAGAAATAAGGACGAATTTAAGTAATACTACATGGTATGACGCAGGCTCGTTCAACTCAATACGACTGCAAATGTTATGTCATATTTTTCTCATTGTTCAGATTACAGGAAAATTTATGGTGATGACAAAACAGTCGAAGGCCGTAACAGACAGAAACCTTATAAAGTATGTATGTAAAGAGCAGAAAAGAATAAAGACACTCCACATATTCCTATAATTTTATAAATGTATATTAATAAACCAAAGAGAGCTCATAATTATGGAATTCAGACTTACCTCGTCCAATAAAAACAAAATGGATGCCACAGCACGTACGTGTCGATTGAACCGTAATTCCAAATACTGTAAAATAAAAAGATAAACTTTTAAACTTAAGGAAATTACCTAATATTTACAATAAAATATGGTTTATATACAAATTTAATAAAAAAATAGAGTGTGTATTACTGAGCTCTATAGGAAATTAATTTCATTTATAACATCATGGGACTTAACAAATCGTGAAAATTCTCTATGGCGTAATAAAGTCTTCTGGCACGTTATAAAATACGTGTATAAATTATTTTATTGTTTTCTCAAATAAAAGTTAATTATAATCTAACTCATTTTATGGTAGAATTCACACTACAGAGGAGCTTTCAAAAATACACGTGTTGCTTACCATTGTACAGATTACGATTCTTAAACAGAAAATTTTGATATACATTTCCATCCCCTGTTTTAACCCCGTTGTTATGTTATTCATAATGGCATCTACTATTTTTTAAATATTTGAAGAATAAAAACTTTATTCATTATAAACATTTCAAGATATAAATATATATAGCAACATATTTAATAAAACCATGTTTCATCGTAATAATAAAATATGAACATATATATTTAAAGACCGTATAACTTTTAAAAACATGGGAGCAACGCACACTTATACACCAACGTTCTCGAAATATACTTAATGCAAAATATTATTCTAGAAACCGGATCTAGCATTTTTCTGCGTTATCATTACCAGTCATAAAAGTGATAAATTTAATATTTCATAATTCAATTAAATAAAATTCATAAAAAATCCGTAGTCTCGCAGTCCACGGCAAAAGACCACGTGGCAAATTTGTTCAAGCATTGCGTAACGTCGAAATTCTCCATGCTGCAAGGTCACGTACCTACTCGATAGATTAAGACATTTGAATCCTACCGGAGCAAGTGGGACCACGATATAAGATTCCTTGCGATATACTTGTTATATTTTACAGCATAGGTGATCCATGTTCGTTTTTTATTTATGCCCACATCTATTTCCCGTGATGCAGCGATGATGCATCGGTTTATGAAGGTTTTTGTGATTCATTATATATGGCCTACGACGCTGATAAGATCTACGCGCGGATTTTATAACTTGAGAATGTTTCGATATACCGATTGCAACTGGGGACATATATTGGGACACAGAGGGCAAATTCCATCCGATACACTGACTGCCTACACTTATGAACGGAAGCGGATTTTCGTCAAGAACACAAAAAACAAAAAACCAAAAAAGTGCTGCTGCTATTTTTAAAACATGAAATGGCGAATTCTAGAGTAGCTTTCCGCTGACATAATAATATGATGGAGTGACGGATAGGACATTATGTTTTAATGTAAACATATAGTCCGTCAGCGTAATCTTAATCGATAACATCGAATGACAGTTTGTATGCTCTGTAGGTAACGTTAAAAACTCACACATAATATTTACTTAATACAGGTTTAGGTATAATATATAGCACAAGTACATGAAAGACGGAATGAAGTTAATTTGATTGCCGCTACAATAAACTATTTCATGCAATTTTCCGTATGAATAATAATAATTATTCAAGTACGTCTTGACAAATGTAATGTTATGAATATTTTAATATAACGAAATCTACTTCACAATGTATTTCGTTGGAGAAAAAACTTAAGTCTCGACTGAGTTAGAATAAAACCCTGATCTTATCTAATCTTTAACCCTAGAGTAACAAACAATTACTCTAGGGGTAAAGATTATAAAAACCATTGTTTATTATTCTTGTATTAAAAATTATAAAAACATATAAATTAATGTGATAAACTATATAATTCACAAAAATGGGACAATAGCAACAGACAATGGCAACGTCTCGTCGAGGCAAAATCTCAGGGAATATTAGAGCATAGTCCATCACGCGATTGGTAGGCTTCACATAACTTTGAAATATTTTTTTTATTATCATTTCGAAAGTAGCCGTGTTCCCTTCACCACTGAACGCCTTCAATTCAAGACTTTCAAAAATTACAGAGATTACATCACTCGCAATAGTTTAAAACTTTCACTTCACGCTGATCTCCTGTGAGGCAGGCGTACTCCCTGCGAAGTAAAAATATAGCAACCACGAGGCTAATCCATCTCTTGTATTACTACAAAGACATTCGATGAGATTTACTTTACATGTCAAATGAAATTACACGGTATTGATTGTGAAGGTAGGATAAAATTAATAGAAAAACCGCCACGAACTAATATCAGTACATAGCTCTTTATTGTGAAATGATATTCACTGAGAAACAGATAATAGGAAACATGGATATTGATATAAAAGTTGCTTACCTCGTATGACGACGATAGCCTTAACGTGCAGAACACTGGGAGATAAATGGACGCCACGACGATACAGCTCAGGGTAACACCAACAATAACCAGCCAGTATTGGCTGCCGTAGTTGTAGATCTCGGCGGGAGTCCCCAGTATCGTTACGCCGGACACGTAACTGGCGACATTTTTCAATATAGTTCCTGTTGCACTACGTTATCATCTCAAAAAAGGTCCGAATAAAAAGGTTCGAGTTCGCTTAAGAGAAAATAACTGGTGAGACTCAAAACCAGAGAGTCTATATGGATGGTAGTGATCACTAACTATCAGGTGAGCGTAGCCTCGTCGGGATCTTGCCCACTTTCCTCCTTTTACATTAAAACAAGGAACATTTCGTCGCTTTCGAACAATTTGACAGCTGAAGACCACCGGCACCGATGTATCAACACACTTCATCAAAGCACATAGCCAACCCTAACGGTAGGAACATACATTTACCTACTATGGTTAGTATTGTTACACGATTTTGTTGCATTGGACATATTTAGAGCGCTTTAAGCACAAAATTAAAATTTTAGGTTGTCCGCGGTATCATTTCCATTTTCCGGCAAGCTGTGACTGATAATGATAAAAGCATAGTCATAAATATTAAAAACATTTTGACTTTATAAAATTGTGACATACGAGATTTAAATTACTATAAAACCTATCGGTGAAAAACCTTTGAAGAACAGAAATTATTTTAAAGAGATCCAAAACAGAACAAAATCCCAGTATCTAGTAATTATATTGTTTTCTAAAACATCCTGAAGTTTATCAAAATCTAAAGCTAAGAGGATAACAAGAAAATAACCAGTTTTCGCACATAATTAAACTCAAGTAATGGGCTTAATGTAACGGTCTCAGACGTGTATTTAAAAAAAAAATGTAAAGACAAAATGAATGGAACTAAGTTATTAATGTGTTTCATATGATAACTATTACTTACCTAGCTATAAGAGACATAGCCACTGGGAATGTGGACATTGCCTTTCCGCCTAGTAAGTAATCTCTTATATCGACCACAGCCTTTGACCTGGAGCCGATCGCGCTGTACCAGACACCACCAGCGCAAGAAGCCGTGCAGAGGAGGCCGAAAGCCACATAGTCCCCCACACCGAACCCCCCTTCCGTCATCGTGAACGGCATTTTGATTTTAGTCTTCTGCGAAGAAATAGAATTGATTCATCAAATAAATAAACAGAATATGCAATCACTCGTTCTTTTCATTTGTTCTGCCTGATACATTCATCTGTTAAAGTAGGATTGATTGACTGAAGCAACAGTTGTTAATTCCCCACAATAATTTACAAAATTTTTATACATATTTAGGTTATATTATTTACGTACTTCGACTTTTCACTAGATGACAGACAATTGATCGTTTAAGATTGACAGTACATACCTGTCGGATAATTTTTAAGAGAGGTATGAACGCGCGACCTACGAGACACTACAAATAATTTCCAAGATACCTAATTTTTGAGTGGTTATAACTAATTGTTACCAATGAGCACAATATAGCTTAATCTTCGCACGCTAGCTTTAAATCATATCAGTACACTCTCGCAACCCGAATTTAACTTCTGATGTCGGCAACAATGAAAATTTTAATTGTAATTTGACCTTTGCGTAAATCTGGTTTCGGGTAAACGAAAAAAATGCGAAAAAGTAGCATATCGAAAGAATTAATTATAAAAAATATTTTCTAAAACGTTTGAAGTTTACCAATGCGCAGCAGAGACCAGAGAGGTCTGCCTTTTTTGCCCTAATATCCTCTATCTGGTACAAATGTATCTGCATTTTCACCCCGCAGAGAGTAGCGATAAGCAAACTGTTGTAACATGGACAATGTCATACTTTTTTTAGCTTTAAAATTATTTGACCTATATTATTTGACAGTCAATGCGCCCTGTATCAACTCTAACCTGAAGTTAACTGAATATCACTCGCGCTGTATTAGTGCTGAGAAAGGTAATTTATTGTATTTATTTGTCAGAAAGTGCGATTTTTTTTCTTTACTTATTGTAAGTTTATTTATCATGACATATATTTATGAAATATAAATTTTTTGACCAAAAATAGACCGGACTTATCTCAAAAGCTCTATCAGCACTTAAAAGTTAATATTACTATTATAATACTAAATCTAATATAATCAAATCTTGAAAATCTAACCTATATAATCTAACTCACCTAACTTATAACATAATTTTACAATACACACATTTTACAGATAATTTTTTTCTCAATTAGACTGACTACATCTGCTTAACCTTTTCGAGTGTACAGACTTGACATTGTTGTGTATTTGTATAAAACAATGCATATTTATGCGATAGCAGAAATCGTTAATTAGCAGTCGTTTTGTGAAGAGTGCTGTTGTCTATCTCTAAAACTCATCATCAGATCTAAATGAAATTTAAATGGGATAAATTCGGAACAAAACCCTTTCGGACAATAAAAAGAAATTTTGCAAATACGTCTATATATGACGGAGTTATGACCGAACACACAAAAAAAATATACAAACTCACAAGTCGGTTAAAGTACAATATTAGATTGTCAATAATAAGCCCCAGCAAATTTAAGCTTACCTAAATTTTAAGTGTGCTTATAAAAGTTGTTGAAAGTCACTTCTGGTGTGTTGTACTCTCTCTCCCATCTTATTACGTACCGTAATGCTGGTCGAGAATTAATTTCACCTTTATTTCCAAGACCTCATTTTAAAAGACGTTATGATTCATGGATCACCTGAAGGCGCTTTAACTGTTACAACTGTATCAGAATGTTCTACAAAACGAGGCCAAATTCATAAAGTTCACGAATGAATTCGTTAGAGTATGTGTATGTGAATTATGTATAGTATGAGAATTAATAAGACCTACTAGCTAAAAGCGCCCTGCCATTTAAGCTACAATCTTGTATCTTGTATTAACTGATGTTTTTGCTTTCAGTCCCGAGACTATTAAAGCTTTATCGGACGCAGAACCGGTGGGCTAGCCAGAACCCACGGGTTTGGACCCTCCGCTATGGGTAGGGTCGCGCATGTGCTCATGCGTGCGTTTAACTACTATGGTGTGTCATCTAAGGGCCGTCGAGGTCGCCGGTTCGGACCGAGACCCCGACGGCCGTCGACTGTGCATTTAGCTAATCGGTGGCTGGGAGCGGTGAGAACCGCCCCGGAACGCGGGGTGTACCTTGTGTACGCGTTGTGTGGGTCTCGCCGTGCTCGGAGGCGAGGGCGAACTGGTGGGATTGTTGTTACACTAACTGTGGGTGTGGTGTTATCCGGCGGGACCCCCGGCGGTGGGTCCATCGTATCTAAGTCCTCTTCGTCGACCGGGTCGATGAGGACGTTTCGCGGGCGACGCTTGTTTACGTTCGCGTTTGTGTCCGGTTGGTAGTTTGCTGCGCTTACCACCAGAGGGTTGGGATGATGCTGGGCTCTATCGAAGAACCGTTTTGTCAAATCTTTAAAATGAGCGCGAATCGTCGGGAGTCTGCAATTGCTGTGCAGGTCGACGTTGCGCTGATACCATTGCGCACCGGTTGCGCGGCGGATAAACTTACTTTGAACTTCTTGCAATTTGTTAATGCGCGTAGGATTTATATGTGCGAAGATCATGCAAGCGTAGGACATGATTGGCCTTACGCAAGCTTTATATAACAGTTGTTTGTGCCTTAAGGGCATTTTACTATGCTTATTCGTTAAATTGTGTAGCCGGCCGGAGACGAACGCGGCTTTATTTCGGACTTGATTGATGTGCGTAGTGAAAGTCATAAGCGAGTCGAAAGTGACTCCTAAATATTTGACCGTTTTCTCCCAGGGGAGAGTTTGGCCGTATAGTGACATTTGCCCCAACTTTCTGTACTGGCGAGGACCTTTGTAACGGTGTGGCAGATGGGGGTTGGGGGTGCTACGAATAAAGTGAATCGCCACACTTTTTTCTGGATTAATATCGATTCTCCATTTGCGGAACCAATCGCCGAGGCGGTCGGCGGCGCTTTGGAGTCGAGTTGTTAATTGACTGAGGTTGCGATCTGAGTAAAAGAGCGCCGTGTCATCCGGAAAAAGCGCGAGATTGACGTGGGGGTCTCTAGGTATGTCGCTCGTGTAGAGCGTAAATAGCAAGGGAGAGAGGCAGGAGCCTTGTGGTACGCCGGCTGTGAGGCGGCGGCTTGTGGAGAGGGTGCCCTCGACTCGATATCGAAAAGAGCGGTTCAACAAAAAGGCCCGGATGGTGTGTACGAGCCTATCTGGCACTTTGAGTGTGTCCAGCTTGTAAAGCAATCCGTTGTGCCAGACTTTGTCGAATGCTTTTGCGACATCGAAGAAGAGAGCCCCTGTACTAATGTGTTTGGGGTGGTTAAGACCTTTTAGGATGTGCTCCGTTAGGCGGTATAGCTGATCGGGACAAGAGTGTCTAGCTCGAAAGCCGAATTGTTCCGTCGGCAGAAGGCCGTTGGAAAATACGTGCTCTTTGAGCCTGTTTAACAATAGCCGCTCGTAGAGCTTCCCCAGACAACTGAGGAGGCTGATAGGACGATAGCTGGAGGGCTTATTGGCTGGTTTATTCGGCTTGCGAATGCCGATAACCGTGGCTTCCTTCCAGTCGTCCGGAAAGGAGCAACTGGAGAGAAGGGTATTGAAAATTGTCGCCAGTAAACAGATAAGCGGCCCAGGGAGAGCTTTGAGAATCTTATTACTTATATTATCTGGGCCCGGGGCGGATTTTGGTTTTAAATTTTTAATAATATCTTGGACCTCTTCGGGGGTCACTGAATTTAAAGGTTCGCCTTCCGGTGGAAGCGCAGCCCTAGTCTCGATTACGCGGTCCACCTCCGTTAGGTGGGCCGAATCGGTGTGTTCGCGCGATGGCGTACATTGCTGCTCTAGGTTGTCCGCAAGGCATTCGGCTTTTTCGGAGTCATCTAGGGCTACTGAAGCGCTATTAGGTCTAACTAACGGCGGTAGAGATTCGCGGGGGTCTGCTTTCAGACTGCGGGCCAACCGCCAGTAGGCGGTGTGCGAGAGTGTCCCACGTTGTGTGTTGGTGTTTCGATACACGATCTTTGACTTCTAGCTGAAGGCGTCGAAGTAGGGTTCGGTTCGATTCCGATTGGTATCGGTCGAAGGCGCGTTTGGCTGCATTTTTCTGTCTAATTAGCAGTCGCAGGTCGGGCGGAAAGTTAAACCGTCGGTCGCCCGACACCGTCCGTTCCGAGTCTGCGACTGCGGAAGTAATAGTTTCGCGGAGACTCGCTATCGCTCGATTTGCGTCATCGAACGTAGCTATCGTCTCGGATAAGTCTACTAAGTCCTGGGGGTCCAAAGCCTTGAGTTTGACCTCAAGACGATGCCAGTCCACTACGGATTTGGTCGGAGGGACCGCGCCGGCGTTCTGGCCCAGTTTATACAGGACGGGCCTGTGGTCTGAGTCTAGTTCATGGATTGTCTCTATCGACTCGATGTCGAGCTAGACCTCCCTGAATAACATTATGTCTAGGACACTCGGTGACGCCTGCTGGTAGTTGTCCACCGTAGGATAGTGGGAGTCGCGGGAGCGACTATACTGAAATTTAGGTTATCGGATAAGCTAAAGAGATGCTTTCCGTTGTTGTTTGGGATGCTGTTGATGTCCCATGAGCCGTGTTTGCAGTTTAGATCTCCTGCAATTATCACGGAAGGGCCTAAGTTAAGAAGCGTATCTAGGTCGCTTTGAAGGAGAGTTCTATTCCCCGAGAGGTAGGCTGAGACTAGTACAAGCAGCCTGTGGCCGGTGAGCGCTAACCTACACGCGGATGCCTCTATTTGACTTAGCTCTGGAATGTCGAGCGGGCAACAGTGCAAGGACCGTTTATAATAAATTAGTGTGCCTCCCAGACGGTTTGCTAACCGGTCGTGGCGGACAATATTGTAATTTGCGATTCTGGGATCGCGTACGCTAGGTTTCAAGAATGTCTCTTGCACTAGGAAAATATCTACGTTATAATCGCGAAGGAATTCCGCGATTTCATCCCTTTGACCCTTTATGCCGTTTGCGTTGAAATACGAAACAACCAGAGCCCGAGGTTTTGTTCTACCTGCGGTTGTACTTCCCATTAAGGTGTTTTTATGGGTCTAATTAACGACGCGGCGGAGCGCG